CAAATTATTCTGATTGTTGCCGGAGACCAATGGTACAGACATATGGCACTGTCTTTCCTCTGTCAGTTTGTCCATCTGTCTAGCTCACATCACCATAGTATCCAAGCACCTCTTACTTCATTAAGATGTGTTGCCTTGACCTATTTTCCCTCTAGCTCTATCTCTGTACCTATCAAGGTATTTAATTTGTTGAATTGCTGGATTTCAAGATTTCTCTGGAGAAGAGGAAAGCCAAGGATTATATTTCAGATGTTATATATCAGGAAAATTGAAATTGGATTAGCTAGTGTTTTGTTATACTCTTATGCAACACATTTAATGTTTTTAACAGACTAGCAAGGGTATATAGTCTCCAATACATGGAACAAGGGAAGATAGGACCCATATCTTATGAAGTCACAAAATTTTATAAAGTACCGTGATTTACAGGAGAGGTTCCAAAGTAATATTTGGGTAAAAACATCTTTAAAAGTGTCAGAGAAATACATGGAAGAATAGACAAAAATGCTTACTATGTGTACATTGTGCCTTTCCTCTTCAAAGCTCCTCACACGTTAATTAAACCTGACACTACCGCTGTAATGTAGTTATGAAGGGTGAAAATAGAGGATGAGAAGTTAAGCAATTTCCCCAAGGTCAGAAAGTTAAGTCATAACCAGAATCAGGATTAGAATTCGGGAGTTTGTGAGCTAGGAATTTCTGAAAATTCTGCTATCTGAAGCACAGATTAGATCAATTGATAGGGAGACTGAGGGTGCGTCAGTAGCACCCCCCCTTTTTTTTGTTTGGTGAAGTGAGAGCTCCTTCTCCTGTTTCAATCTATCCTAACCACTTGGGTTAGGCTCCAGGAGTCCTGTGGTGATATCAGAATCTCAGCTTTCATTTAAAACATTTTTTTTCCAGTTCTTACCATTGCAAACAAAAGCTTGACAACTTGACCCAACTGAAACCAATGAAGTGATATCTGCCTGAGTCTGCAGAAGCCAGAAACAAGAGCTCCTGGAGGTGTGAACTACCCCATTTATCTCAATGAGACACTAACACTGAAAACCCACTGCTTTGGAGATCCCTCCTGACACCAGCAGAGGACTCTGTGTGGTGGGGGGGGGGGAGGGGGGAGGGATGCTTGTTTCTATCAACCCAGCATGGCGTGTCCTCTGTTTGGATTGGTCGTGTCTCAGTCACTCCTCTGGGATGGAGCCCAATTTGCCTGAAGCAATGGAATGGTGGTTCAGCTTGCACAAAGATGAGGTCATGAGCAGTCCATCTACCCCACAGATGGCTCTTGTGTGAGAGCTGCTAAGACTAACATCACAAACAGGGACTAGGCCACAGCACCCAATGTGAGGATGTGCCTAGGGACCTAGGTTTTCTTAATCTGGTCCTGGCCTCAGCAAGACAGAAATAAAAGGTCTGGAAAAGAGTGTGAGCGAGAGCGCGAAATGTGAGAACAAGGCCAGGAGGAGAGAGAGAGAGAGAGAGGTAAAGAGACAAGACCTCATGCCTCATTTCAAAGTAGTATTCTGCAATGATGCTTTTCGATCAGTGGAAGAAAAGTTGAGGCTGCTGTAGCAACATGGGTGGAAGTCATTTTCAGTTATTGCACAAGATCAGCAACTGACAGAAGTCTGTTGCTTTCCAGCCGGGTCACCTCTCTGGCCATCCTCTAGTGTATTGCTCAATGCATTATGATACAATTGCAGTCCCTCTGGTAAAGTACACATTTTTCTTCCAGCTGAAAATGACTGAAAATATGTCGGCGCTTTCCACTGAGCCAAGAGAATTTGGTTGGGATGTCTATGAGGATAGCTAGCGTACTTTTTAAAAAGAGTTCAACCTGTCAGAGCTTGTTTGTGAGCTGGTGCCTCATCAAGGAAAACTAGTGCCTTGTAGCTCTGAAGTTAATTCTTCTACACTGCGTTGTCTAGTCTGGACTAGATTTTATCATTTAGGCATGGCTCAGTAAGGTTGGTGTGAAACCACCTTGCCCCAGGGTGAGCTCTCGGGGACACTGTGCTTCCTCCAACCTCTAGGCTGCATGCCCACTGCTATAGCCCTGCATGCCCACTGCTACATTCCCCCTGTATGGCCAGATAACTCTGCTGGCCAGTGCACAGGGGATGCTAAATTAAGGGTTCCTTGCACTCTCAGGGGAGTAGGGAGGGAGCAGAGGTTCTCACATGATATGGAATCCTGCCCAGCCCTTAAGCAGGCCAGGCTATTTACTCCAAAGTGCATGATTCCCTGCCATTGCCTTCATGTAGGGTAAATTGTGTGGTGTTGCACACAGGCAATCCTACTGAATTTTGAATTCATGTGGCATAAAAGAAAGATGTGGACATTTACATTTATTCATTTGACTCCAATGGCACTGTATTTATTAAGTAAGTGACTGGAGGCAGGGATATACGTTTTCCAGTTTGACTAGAGTGGAAAAAACCCTAAGGATCGATTGACTGTACTGTGGGCAAGCAAATTAGTGTTGCCATGTTAGGACCAAAAATGGGATTTTTTATTATTATTATTATTTTTAAACAAAGTACCTAACATTTTTCTCAAATGGTGATTTCCTTGTTAACATTTTCTGGCTTTTACAATGCTACCTTCCCATTTGCAAATTGAAATGGCGACATGCAGAGAATGGTCTACTAGGAAACTAAGCAACGCTGCCAAAGTCATTTCCCTAGGAACTTTGAAGAGAGTCTTGTGACTAGTGATGAATATGACCTTTAATCCTTGAAGTGATACACCACTCAGTGTGCTCTCCCCTCCCCAAAACTCTTGCATCCACCTTGAAAGTTCTTTGTCCGATTGTACAGTAAAAGCTGTAAATCTGTACCCTTGTTTAGTGTGGCATGTACTCTGCCTCTAATCCAATTTCCCTTCTGTTTGTTCTCTGTACAGCCTCATTCGGCCTGACAGCTATTTAATAAACCTATTTGCTTTTCTTTGACATGAGGCAGAAGTGGTGGGTGTTGAAGAGCCATAAGGCCCTAGTGGACAATGAAACCCTTTCCCACTCAACACTCTTCCAACTCAGCACAGATAAATTGTGAAGAACTGGGAAATTAACCCATCCTATCTTCTTTAAGGGAAAAAAAATAATCAGAGCAGCATGTATGGGCTGGTACATCATGAATTCAAGTCTTTGCTTCGTCCTTCTGTACAAGAAACCCTCTTCCTGCTTCTTGATTGACCACCAAAGGGGTAAAAAGATAGAGGTACCAAGTCTTTCTAATGATCTTTTTGATTTAATCACACAGAAGGGAAAATACACTTAAGAATAAATACATAAATGGAGATACAAAGAAAACACTGTTATGAGTGGGGGTTCAATGCTTCATACCACTTATAGAAGTTCAGAGAATGTTAAAGAGCTACATATTCCACTAATGTGTAAATCCCTCAGTTTGCTGCTTTGCAAACTGCAACATAGTTCCTATGTGTTACGTGTTTGTTCATCTCTTTCTCAGTGTACCACTAGAGGTGTGCTGCATATTGATCCCAGAGTGCAGCAGACAGGCTGTTCTCACATGTACAATGGTCCCCTTGAGAAGAGAATGAGAGAGCTCAAACTACACACGGCAGAAGTCAGTCACATCACTTAATGCACTCCTGAAGGGGCTCACATATTGTGATGATGAGGATGACATAAGAACCCATATAGAATAAACTCCTTCATTTGATCAACATGTAAAAGAATCAAGCCATACCAAGTGGAAACAAGGTAAACTTTAAATTGCCAGCATCCAGTATTTATTAAATATAGCCAGTATCAAGATATTGCTGTTACACCTGCAGTGCTTTTACTGATCTCCCATGTAATTTCCCATGAAATGTGTACATGGAAGATTTAATCCCAACTCAAGTATGTCCCAGTGAGAGAGAAGCATTTGGATTCTGGGAATATACAATTTGCACCCCCTGAAAGAGTGCAAGCTGACAGAGTGATTCCAAAATGGCAGCACCTTTCTGTTGTGGGGAACATGCCACTTGAAAAACCTACAGATAACTTCAGCCATTTAAAATCTTTGCTGGTATGCTCTTCATAAGTGGATTTATTGTATTGTTAATTATTTGTATTACAGTAGGAGCATCAATAGTATGATAGTGAATGGGAGGAGATAGGGAGGGTGGGGATTGACTATGAAGGGCCTTGAAAGTGAATACAAACAGCTTATGTTTGATGCAATAGAGAAGGGAGAGCCAGTGACATACTTCTATTAAACAATTTATTGTTGGTTGGCTGGTTTGTGATGCCAGAGGATACTCAGACAATAAATATACTGTTGACTAGAGTTGATCAAATTACTCGTTGCAAGTAATTTATCCATTCAATGTTGACATTTCTTCTGAATAATTCATTCGTGAACAAAAAATATTTGACCAACTCTAGAGATATTCAAGTAGTATTTGGTGAATCATTTAATACACTTTTTTCCTCAGTTGACCAATAATTTATTCACAAATAATAACTTTTCATTATTCGACCAGCCCAACCATGCACTTAATTCTGCTTGCAAGCAGCTGTCCTGTTGTTTAGGAAGTCATATTTCAAAGTAGTGGCATCACCTGCCCACTAATGCATCTCCCCTGGGACTTATTCAGACTGCTGAACAGCCTTGAACAGTTGCCATTTAAAAAAAATCAATCTGCCAGAAAAATATTTCTTTCTCTGCTTCCACGCTTTTATCCCCCAATTTGGGCTTTCCCTTCAAAATTGCCCTTGCGTCAGGTCCACAACGGACAAGATTCCATGCTGAGCCAGTAACATCTTTTCTATATGTAAATATGTCAAGATTAGGTCTAGTTGAAAATTATCCATCAAAATATTTTTGACAGAATGAGATTTTTTTTCTCATGAAAAGTGTCTGTCTTATGTAGAAAAAATTGAGTTTTCACTGGAAAAATTTTGGATGGAAAAATAGAAAATTTTTAGCTGAAACTGTTGGTTTTCCGTGTGGGGTTTTTTTGTTTTAAATGAAAAGTAAAAGTGTTTATTCTATGGAGGGGGGAAAAAAATCTCACTTTCCGACCAGCTGTAGTCATGACTTTAAAGTTCAATATCTTGTCATCCTGCAAGGTTAGAAATGAGAGCTTTAGACATTGAAAAGTGAAGATTCCCAGTTTCCCAAGGAGATACAGAATACTCTCTCAGAGCCCACTTCAGCAATGGAAAATATCAGACTTGAAAAATGTCTCTCAGCTTTATGGCCAGATAAGCTATATGGAATCATTTTTTCTCCCCTCTGAACCCTGTACAGTTGGATTCATGATAACTAAGACACCTGGCTATAAAGGTAGAGAGATACAAAAAATAGTCCCAATGTAACTTTTAAACACTCCTTAAAACATTCCTAAAATAGCTTGTTAGTAAAAAATGTGGCATATACAAAATACTGGCTTGGTATATACAGTGTATTGACCCACATTTGGGATGGCTGCATTACTTGTCAATGATGCCCACACCATCATGTATTTCCTATGTCTATTCTCCTCATTTCAAGGAATGAAACAAAAAGGATATTTGAGAAATGTTGACTTTCAAGCCTGCAACAACACACTTGAAGTTGCTGATTTTTTGAAGTTGTGAAGTCTCAGCCCGACGAAGGAGGAAAAGCTGTCTGATGTCATGTAGGAGCAATATCAATTGTGGCAGCACCTGTCCACAGTGAAAGGCAAAGTGGCATGCTGAAATATGTTAGAGAAAAGACTTGCTGGCAGATTGATGGAGAATGCTGACATATTTCTGTAAACCACAATAAGAAGGGAGTTAATCAAGATCAGGAAAAGAATTCTTCTTGAAGAGTCGCTCCCCACCTCCAATTAGCTGTTAGTTTAGGCAAACACATACATTGGGTAAGCCCCATCAGTCTGAGTGATGCTTTCTTGAGCAACTCGTATACTACAGCCTTCAGTGACAAGTGGCCCAGTGTTTATGCTGCTGCCAATGGAAGACTTTCTCAGCAAGCCAGCGAATCTTTATCAAGAGCTACAGCTTACTTTCTTGGGCCAATAATGCACCCTTTAAAATGCATGCATGCATACACACACATAAACCCAGGCCCAGCACATGCAATATTTGTTGTTTATATGCAAGATTGTGAATTTAATTTGTCTTTGTTTATATTGATTCCACTATGTTTTGTGAAGTTGTGTGTTTCCATTTGAATGTCCATATTATTTGTGTACTCGTTTAGTATCTCTTCCTTCGGATGACCACTGTCTTAATTTTTTTTAACTGAATACTTTTTATATTCTTGAATGGCAGGGAAAGGAATATGCAGTGCAAAGCATTTCTGAATAATATAAACCCACAAATCAAAAGGAAAAATAAAAGCCCTTTAGAATCTAAACAAAGGCTGTAAACAAGTGATAGGAGTGGGGAAGAATTTTGTGTTTTTAATACATTTACAAAATATGATCCATTGTAAGTTGCAGCCCTCTTGTCCCCTCCGTCCCCCCTCGCCCGAAGACTGGCAGCCAGGGTCTCCAAGGCTGAGATGTTTCCCCACTGCACAGCCTCCATTTCGGTTCCAAAAATGTGTCCAGCACCATAAATAAACTGAGAGAGCAACCCTTCTCCTCTGCTTTGCAGAGTGTTCTGACTGCCTGGCAGATATCTTTGTAATTGCTTTGAACCACACTAAGAGCCCCTTCATAGTGGAACCTCTCAGTGGACGTGTGCAACACGCTGACTTACTATGGCAGGGTATCTTCAGACACACTTCCTTTGCTCTGTGAGCAATAATTCACACCCCACTTTCCCCTGCCCTCATCTGACATTCTGGGAATTAAACCAGATAGAACATTGCCAGATTCTTCCTTCTGACCCATCAGCGATGGGAATCCCAATCCATCTAGCTAAATTGCAACTTTTAAATACATTGGGGAATTGGTCAGGTTGATGACACATGATCCAGTGGTAAAACACTAAATTCTGCCCTCAGTAACTCTTGTGAAACCCCACTGAAGTCAATGTGGCCGTACAGATATAACGGAAGACTTCATCCCTTTGTCCCATATGAAATGTACAACTTTAAGCGGAGGAAGTTAATCTTTTTCACATTTTAAACTATTTCATTAGCAAACTTAGGAAATGAAGACCTAGAATCATCAACGTCCTATATCAGACAGGAAAAAAAATCCTCTCATAAGATAAAATTTCTATTTGATGGTGGTGATAGGTCCAATGTATGACAAGGCAGGGCAGAGGTCAAAATCTAGAATAAAACAATCTGGAATACCGTACCAGGACAACATAGACAAACCAAGATACTCTAACAGACAGATTTTTAACATACTAGTGTATAGAAAAATGCTGTGGTTTATGCCTGTTACAATGTATATATCTGTGGCATAGTGTGTCATTACTGATACTACAAGGGATGACATTACTTGTCCTCTTCCTAAACTCTTAGTTTTGTGTACTTGTCATGTTTTGGATGCTCAGATATGGAAAGAAATGACAAGAGTATAATATTTGTAATTTTACTTGCAGCGGAAGAACTAGAATAATATAATCTGCCATCTACACTGTTAGGGCCATAACTTGCATTGATTTATACCCTCATGCACTATGAATCAGCCAGGAGGAAATTCTGCCTAACCCACATTGCTCACAGTGGGAATTACTTGAGGGCAGGATTGAGCCTAACTGAACAGTGCATGTCATGAATTGTGAAACATAGGAATTCTCATTCAGGTCCCTCTGGATCTCACTGGATCCGCATTACCAGTCACCACTAAGATTCGGTATTCTGGAGTCTATAGGCTTGTTTCTCTTCTCACTTATACCAGTGTAAATCTGGAGTAACTCCACTGCAGTTCTAGTTACACTGCCATGAAATTGGTGTCGGAGGAGAATTGGACTCCCCCTTTTTTTCTTTTCTATATACATTTTAGGTGGTTTGGTCACATAATAGGAATTCTACAAAAGTCCTGCATAGCCTGCACACAGCAGCGAAGGCGTGCCATTTACAGTCAGCCTGGAAGTACACTGGAGGGAGAACACTGAAAACACTAAATTAATTCTGCCTGCCTGAAAGAGCTGTTCTCTGCCAATGAGATTAAAATATCACTGGCACTAGAAGTTAGTCCCAAGTATATTTCTTTTCTGTCAGCAAAACATTCCCCTCTTGCCCTCTCTTATCTAATGGCTTCTCTTCATTCCAGCTCCCTGCCTCATTACTGCTGGGAGCCTAGTGGCTCAGACTCCAGTCTGGGATCCAGGCTGGGACCCCCACCAACAGTAACCCAGGGAGTCTATTGGCAGGCCAAGCCTACCCCCACATCCTTCCAATCCCCACCCCCCACTCAGAATAGCTAAAATCCTATCAAACGTTTCAGGAGGTCTCAGCACTAATTAGAAGCATTATCACTTTGCAAAGAAATAACATGAGCACAGAAAAAGTCTCTGTTAAATGTCTTGGACATCACAGGATCAAACTGCCTTGACTGAAGTCAGTTAAGATCTTGGAGCCTGTTTGCAAGGGTTCCTGCTTGCCTGTGTTAACAGAAGAACCAAATCTCCTGGCTATAATGCTATATGGAATTAGGAAATATTCTGGTGTTTACAGTTACGATGAAAGGCAATAAAAATATGCCCTCTATGCATTCAACATTTGGGCTAGAGGCCTGCAGAGGAAAGGTTGGGAAACTGTAAAGATGGGACTAAACTCTGTTATAAATATGGGACCAAATTCTGAAGTCTTTCCTCGGTTTTTGCTCAACCCTTGCTGAGGCAAATTCTTATATATTACTTGTATTACTGGAACCCCTATGACTTGCAGTCCTGGACCAGGATCCCATTGTACTAGGCACTGTATAGATCCAGAACTTAAAGACAGTCCCTGTCCCAAAGAGTTTACAAGGGATTTGGTTCATATTTAAAAGACCATATTTTGGATTTTCTCACCAAAGATAAGTAATCAGACTATTTTAATGCCTGGAAACATGCTGCGAAAGTCACGGGAACCCTTTAATGATTGATTCAACACACTCCATCTTTGTGACATCAAATCTCTGGGAAATGTACTTTGAAAGGTTTTCATTTACAGAGGTATTATCCAGGTGGTGAGTTTAGTGAGGCTGGTGACAAAGAGACAACATTGTGCTGTAGAATAGCAAAAAGAGAGTGAGACAGATAGTTGTAATGCAGAGCTATATAACGAGGGTGAGTGAGCGGTACTCCCTTATCTTGTTAGTTCTAAAGAAATGGCAAACCAGCGATGGTAGAAGGAAGAGTTGGGGCATGAGGGTGCACGCTCAGTAAGCTTACCCCTATTTCTTCCATCACAGGGGGTGTGTGGGGGGGAAATGGACTATCTCCTTGTATCTGTAGTGCCCAACTTGAGACACCGTAAAGGAGCCTGATTTTCAAGATGTGCTGCATAGCCATGGCCCTGTAAGCAGGGTCGGCTCTGGCTTTTTTTGCCACCCCAGGCAAAAAAAGCCGCCGGCCGCCCCCCCCCTCCCGTGGGGGGGGGGAGGGCGGCCGGAGCCCTGGGGGGAGGGCGGCGAGCCCCGGTGGGGGCTCCGCTATCCCCCCGGCGGCCGGGGGGAGGGCGGCCGGAGCCCTGGGAGGAGGGCGGT